ATTGTATTCTTATTCATTTCAGTACAAAGTAAATAGATTCAATGATACGTCACGTTGTTTTCCCACTTTCTGAATACACGGTTTTAGCCACTTTGAGGTTCAATTCGGATCCATTCTTAGCTTCTTTTGAAATAGAAATAACTATTAACTACGAGTACCCACTTTTAAAGTAATTTTGAAGTATTTAAGTTTATTTTCATATCTGGTAATCACTTATTTACGGTTAAATGAACAAGTAAAAAATTTGTAAAATATCTTCAGACATATGATTCCCATGACAATGCAATATTATGATAGCTCTAGGTTGCAGTTCTACAGCCCCGATACTGTAGGGGCACTGTTGACTTAGTTTATTATTAAATAAGCCGACGTCCGGAGCGATAGAGTTGGCTCTATACGTCTTTTTGAAAACTAGTTAGGTTTTCACAGACGCGTAGAATTTATTACGATGATTTCTTTAACTGTATTTAAAAGCGAGTGGTAGTTGTGTTGAAATATAATTAGCACACTAAAATCTCTGAGCCGTGATTTAGTTAGCATGCCAAATGCCTCAAAGATATCTGAGCAATTGAGCAATCTGTTACTCTCAAACGATGGGATGATAATTCAACATCACCGGTGAGAGATCAGGTGCAGGACCGACGGCTTTACGTGCTCTTTTCCTTTCTTTCTTTCATGCTACGTGCTAGGGTGTATAACCGCCAACTTCCCAAGTCCAGACTGTTACTGGGACTTGTTTAACAAAGAATCAATAACTAAACTTGGTCCGACCTGGGACCCGAATCTAGGATCTCCAGCAGTATGCAGCCGTACATGCTAGCCACTATACAATTGAGGCAGTTAAAATGTAGTAAGGTATTACTGATAGAATGTAAGCTATTAAAGAAAAGCAAGTGAGTAATTAAATTAATAAAAAAACGTGTATGTGTGTGTGTACTTATGTACGCACGTAATAAGTTAAAGTAGAAAGAAGTTTGGCGTAACAGAACAGAAATAGCTAAAGATTTCATCCCATATGTCATAACTCTCTATTTGTAAAAGCAATGCACCTAAGTTTACATGTCACTATTTGGCTGTCGGTGTGCGCGCGCATCGTAAAAATTTTACTCTCATTTTTTTTCCAAGCGTGCCAAAAGAAGTATAACTTCAATAAAATAAAAAAAGATAAGTAATTAATTTAATGAACTCTACATTCCGTCATCAGTCTGTTTTGTGGAAACTTGTATTCACCTAAAGCAGAATTCCCGTCATTCTTTATGTCACTGCCATTGTCTTTTACTCATCGCTGTACATATTCAATAATTATTGTAACTAGTACCGACCTGCTTCAGCCAGCTACATAGAGCAAAACAGGTAAACATTTGTATTAAATAAGTTGTAATCAGTGCATAAATTTTATTTCTAAGGAATAAGATAAGTATCACAGAAATGTAAGTGTTTACTAATAAATTAATCATTACAAATCAGTCCATCTTTGAATGTAGAAAGATTGTAAGTAGAAACATTGTACAATATATTATTGCACAATATTTGGCAATTCAATGCCCTCTTAAACGATTTTAGTTAGATGCTAATTTTACTCAGAGTTATCGACTCTGTTCGAAATATTAGAGTGCAGGCGTGTGAGCGTAGACAGAAGTTCTTGAGTCTTTCAATTCAATGATTGTGTCGAATATGTCGAAATGTTAGGGATTAGGCACCAGAGACGAGACCAAAAGTAACGTTCTCCCCAAAGCATGGGAGTGTAAGCACACTATTTTGTTATATAAAAAAAAAACACTAACAAATTTAAACTGAAAGGGGACTCAAACTCAGGACTATCTGTAGCTATACCTACTAGACATACGAATAAAAATTATTAGCAGAAAATAATGTGTTAGCTTTTGCCAACAACATACTCGTTATTTTAGTCCACTTTCTCTTCTAAGGGTCGTAACGTAATATCATTGATCTTTCTCAATAAAGTCCAAAAAGATTTTTCTTGATCTAACTGGTAGATAGTTCCAGAGATGAGTGAGTGTAAAAAATAAAAAACAATTCCTTAAGTTTTATAATATAAAATTAGGTATCGATATAAATTCTTTATGTAAAAATAGAATAAACACTATTTGAAATTATTGAAAGAGACAAGTTGACAAGTTCGAAGAGTTTCAAGTCAAAATATGAATTTTAAATTGTCTTTATATTAGTTATCAGTTGACAACAGTCTGACGTTATTCTGACCAACATTAAATTAATTTGTGAACTTTAAGTACAAAATCCTATAGACAAGCATTTTCAGTTTATTCGAATTTCCCAATGGTTTGTGAAGATTTTTCATTCTTTTCCATTTCATCACCTAATAGGAAATAACCTCGATGTATTAAAAAATAAAAAAAATGTCTGTCCAGCAATTTTCAAGTGATGCGCTGCGCTTACCAACGAACACTTTCATTTTTATTATATAGATTCAAACTCGCTTCGCTCGGGTTCATCCCTAGGTCGGTACCTAATTCTTTAAATTGACATATTTTTTTATGTGTGAACCGATTGTAATAAAACAAATACTAAATGTTAAGTTGAATCTTACTACATATTTATATATTAGTGAAAACTACACCCAAATCGGTTTAGCCGTTTCTGAGATTAGCACGCACAGACGAACAAATAAACAGACAAAAACTCAAAATCAATGTTTTGGGTTATATTGTGTTAATAAAGTGCCCCAATAATAGTTTTTCTCTAATATCTTCCATGTACAGACGGATGTCATGAGAGATTGTTACTTGAACAATATATTCTGATACTATCTATCTAATAATGTTTAGAAGATTAAAACCGACATTTTAGATAGGTTTCAATTATCGATTAAGTAAGATCAATTAACATTACATATTCATTAGAGAAACAAATCAAGTGAATATAAAGCGATTGGTAATATGGATAGGTAGTTGTAACGCGCTCGCTTGGGAAACCGAGTGATGTGGGTTCAAATCCCGCCCATCTGAAATTTTCATGTGCGAATCATTTCCAACATGATTACCACTTGACTTACGGTGAAGGGAAACGTAGTAGGACCCCTGAATGTCTGAGAGAACGTACCAAGTTTTCGAAAGACATGTGCAGTCCACCAGCCCACACTTTGCCAGCATGGTGGACTATGGCCTGATCCACCTCGTATTGAAGGGAGGTTCAAGCCGGGACGTAAAAAGGGCTGAATACAATTCAAAGCTAATGATATGGTCAACATAAAGTGTACAATGTAGGTATATACTACATATGTATAAGTGACATTTTTTATCTTTATGCGATGGAAATATTTTAACTAGCTCAATATATTTTGACATCTTAATTATTTGATATTTTTATTTCACAATAAACTAAATCAACAACAAAAACATTAAAAATATTTTTTAAATTTTTAGCAACTTTACGTAATTTACCTACTGATAAAATTAATCACAAAATTATTATTGTAATTTTGGTTCGTAGTAAAATAAACAATTTATTCCTATTATTTTTATCAATATTTACCTTTACTGTATAATGATAAAAAAGCAAAGACAAAGAATGATAAAAACGAAAATAAGACAATAGTAAAAAATAATATTCGATTGACATTCTAATTTATTATTATTTATTGATTAATCGATATTTGGTTTTTAAAAATTTTACACTCACTTTCGAATACAAAACAACCAAGTTGTACGGTGTTGCCATAGAAACCATTTACCTTCTCCAGAGAATAATGGAAATTCGTGTTGATCTTCACCGCAACACCACCTTGAGACGTATGTTTCATTATTAATTTGCCCTCGCTATCATACGGGATAAATCTACCTTTCCGCTATGGATAGGTAGCTCTATGGATTTTTTTATTGCGATGAAAACCATTAAGTATTTAGTTTATTTTTTAATTACTTCATTACTATTATGAATTAATAATTATTTTAAATAAAAAAAATCTTTATTTGTAAGAATGATATATTATAATTTGGCTAATTAAGTTAAACATTTTTATAGGTATATAAAAATAACAATTGTTTATCATAACACACAATTTTTTTAAGCCCATAAAAAACTCTTTTAAATAAATTATATCAATATCTGGCAACTCTACAAGCACACCGTTTCATCTCTATCTCCAGAAAAAAATTGGGGAATCACGCATATGCTAAAACATTCGTAATTCTACGTCATATTTTGATTCGCATACTTCCTATAGATATGAGGGTTCACAAATCACAATTTTTTAGTCTCATAATCTAGATTCCATGTTTAATTTATTATTTCATGGTCCTAATCTGGTCCTCCTAATTTCTATATAGCAAAAAGTTCCATAGAGAACAGAAAATTGAAAAGTAACATTTAATATATTAATATCTTGATGAAGACACATTAAAATTTTCCTAATACGCTTATAGACAAGACAGGCTGATATTTAAAAATAAATTACAATCGATTTATATGAAACATTAATTTGATTATTATAATTTAAGGTAGATCTTATCGTTATCTGGTCATATTAATAGTTAAAATTAATACTTTTCAGTAATTTTATTATCTTTTTCTTCTAATGTGACTCAGTAAACTATAGTGATAGCGTTATCTTTAATGAAAATATCTCAACGCAGATAAGTAAACAGTTGTTATATATTACAAATACTTTTAGAATTTATTTATAACTTGGCCTGCTTTGTTAGATTGATATTGTTCTCTTGTGAATCGAATTGAAGGTAAGATAGTAGAATAATTATGTCCATTACTTAGGTTGTGTAGAACTTACAAATTTTCCATATATTTAGTTGGTGGTAATACTTTTGGTTTGCCATTTTACAGAAATATCCTATTATTTTTTTTCAAACTTCAATATTTCTATGTCTTAATATTTCTATGATTTTTTCTATGTCTTTAATTAATATTTAAAACTGTTGTTATAACAGGCGATAATATACTTGTTTTGACTAATTTGTAAGGTGTTGGCATATCTATACTTAAGAATTTTTCCTTTAATTTTTCAGATGAAGACCTTCTTTCCCCTTCTGACTTTAGCTGTTTTGGTGGTGGCATGTAACTCTGCCATCTTGCCAAATGGTTCCAGATTAAATGTTGGCGGTGTTCGTCCTGGAGACGCGTTGTTACAGAGGTGAAGAATTTTTCATTTTAACTTGAGAATACTAATTTAATTATAGGATAAAATCTTTGTATAGTAGTCACGCATTTTTGCAATTTTTGTAGGGAAATTGTAAAAGTCATGAAATTATAATTATCCGGAGTTCTTTCAATCGTCTCCTTTTCTTACAATATCACGGGATATTTTTAGGTATATTATAATTTCCCTAAGCACATTCAGTGATATTGTGAATCAATGAAACTTTGACAATTTCACTAGACAATAAAAGCCGTTAAATTGCGAAGAGGTCACTGATTGGTCAGTACCCCTAGCACGAACATTTTTGCTCTATAGTATAGTTAACGTGATAGTATAGTTATAGTAAAGTTTTGTATGGAAATTTGAACAGCGGTCCGTGAGCGTATTTGGAACTAAAATTCGGCAACACGAACATCTAGCGTTAGCTTTCGTATAGTTATCGAGTAGTTAACGTGTAGTAAACTAGACAAATGTATGGGAATCGGCAGCACGAATCTTTTTTTGACGTATAGTATCGCCACTTTACTTTAGCTGGCTATCGAGAAATACTTAAACGTAGTCACCGACATTTTTAAAGTGAGTAAGTGATCGAGAAAGGTCGGTTGAATATTTCTAAGTGTTTTCTATTTAAATAACTTTAAAATGTTAAATTTAATACCGTATAGAGCCCCATCTACGGCTTTTTATTATTTTGCGTGGCGTTTGGCTGAAGAAGCAAGAAGGGAAAGACGTGAATTAAGGTTTGTGGTGAAACATTATTTCGTATTACTTATAGTTTAATTCTTAAGTTAACTTCCAGTGTACTTAATGCACTTAAATCATGTCACAGCGGTATTTCTCAACGAGTATTTTTCGAAAGAACTCCGAAGATCCCATGGATATATCGGAATCTGAATTTAAAAAAAGGTATAGATTGAGCAAAGAGGCATTTTAAATTTTTATGCCAAGAACTTCGCTCGAAAACTAACTTGAGGGCGAGTAAAGAATAAGTTTAGAGCTTAAGGTACAAACGAATTTAATTTAATTACTCTCAAAATAAAAATAAAATAAATATTGTATGTAAGCTGAATTAAACTGTTATTTATATTTTAGGTTCTTTGTGTCTTGTCGTCTATGCAACAGGCTCTTACCAACGCTTAGTCGGTATGGGTAAGCACTTGGGGCAAACAAGTGTAAGCAAATGTGTGACCCAAGTTACGGAGGCACTTAACGACCCAAGCATAACGGATACATTTATCAAGTTTCCCACTTCAAGGACTGAAAGGGACGCGATAAAACAAAAGTAGTCAAAGTTTTATTTATTGGTATAGATTATTTTCATGTTTGTTATTTCTCTTTAATAATTTATTTGTAATTATTAACAGATTTTTTAGAAAATACAATATACCCGGTGTTTGTGGGTGTATAGATGCATCACATTTTCATATATACAAACCAAGAAAAGAAATAGAGCATTTATTTTATTGTAGAAAAACATTTTCATTCAATTAATGTGCAAATGGTGAGTAACGAAAATAATTTCGTCGCCTCGTAATTTTAGAATTATCATGGAACAACAAAATATAGTTTTGCTATTTTTTGCAGGTTGTTGATAGTGAATGTCGCATTTTAAATATTAATGCCAAATATGGAGGAGCTACGCATGACGCTTTTATTTGGGAAAATAGCCAAGTGAATAGCTATATGCAAGAACTACATCGTAACCATGAACAAGTTTGGTTATTAGGTAATAAATATAAAAAATATATATTTTACGCGATTTCTACTTAATTAATAATTACCGAAGAGATTTTTTACTTCAGAAACTTTATAATATATTCTTTACTTTTTTTTGTAGGTGATTCCGGATATCCACAAAGGCCGTGGTTGATGACACCCATTACCGATGCCGTTGAGGGTAGCCCCGAAGCGAATTATACGTCGCTTCACGGTAAAGCGAGGGCGGTCATCGAAAACACCTTTGGCAGATTGGAGGTGTGTCAACAAGGATCGCACTCTTCACTATTCACCGGAAAAGTGCGCCAAAATAATAATAGCTTGTTGTGTATTACATAATATAGCCCTTAAATTTGGCGTACCTGATCCAGAGGAGAACGATCCTACTATTGAAGAGGACCCCGTATCTCAACCAACCGAATCAATTGCAGGGAATACGAGTTCGAGCGGCGATTTAATAAGAGGCCGTGCTCTAAGAAGACTTCTTGTAGATAGATTAAATTTAATGTAACTTAAAATTTTCCTAAATTTAATTACTGCTTATATATATAATTTTTTTGTTGTAGATAGTTATATTTAGGTATAGATTAGGTTTTATATAATTTATGTAGTAATCATTATTATAGTTTAAAGTTGTTTAAGTAAATTTATTTTTATAGATTTTCGTTATTATTTCCATCACTATTATTATTAGGTACAAATAACAGAACCACATAAATTTTCAAGAACTCTTTAATTACAGACACTTATAATAATTAAAACTAATTCTAATTTTTAATAAATCCTATTATAAATTATTCACATAAAAATAATACTACACACTACACTACATAATATTCAATGCTTATTACTAAAATATTTGTCTAAAACATTCAGTGCTACTTTCATAAACTCTAGCCATTGAGCTTGCAACTGTAGCTCAGTATCTCGTTGACGAAGCTCAATGTCTCTCTGTCGAATCCTCTCTCTTTCTAATTCTAAGGCCATCCTTTCTCTCTCCTTATTATACTTTCTTGCATTCTCCTCACACATGATAAAATATTCTGGTAGGGTTATGGGTGTTTTTCCTCTTGTGAGGTGGAGGTTGTGAGGTGGTTTGCCTGTGGGGGACTGTGGGAGATTTTGGTGGAGTGGGGGTTTAAGGGGTGTAGACGGTCTAGGCGGTGTGAAGGATCCTAGGGATAGGAGGTACTGGCACTGCATCCTTGCTGCACCCAGGAGTGTTCCAGTCTTCATTGTCTGTTGAAATATATATAAAATTAGTTATACATATACTGCAAAATTACCTACATATAAACTAACTGGATTTTATAGTTCATCAATTTATTTAACATAATTATTAATTATTTCAAATATTGTTTAAGTATAAGACTAATTTAAATATTAATTTTATTTATATATTTTCGTGCAATGAGGAAAATTACAAAATACTTTAAATGTAAACATGAGTAGTCTAAAAACTTACCAACAATAGGTGTTGGTGTAGTAACAGGCTCTCTGGGTTCATCATAGGACACTATTTGAATAACTTCCACAGTGTCTTCTGCCTGGAAAAAAATTGAATAGTTTTACATTTAGGTTTTGTATATTATTATTATATAGATAATATTTTGTCATAAGAAAAGCTTCAAGTTTTATTTATATGTATAATCCTATTGAAGTATTATTTTCAGTACTGTGAGAATGAAGTATGCATGTAATGTATGTAAATAGTATTTGAATTAATGAACGTGGCAAACAACAAAGGCAACAGTCACCACCTGAATACAAAACCAAATTTAGTTCATTATTAGCTGTCATAAAAAAATCACAAACCATTCCAAAACCAATTTCAGCGATGGGCATTCCAGTTGCTGCCTGGACACCCATAATAGTAAGAACCCGGTTTCTCTAATCGGTTAGGCACATTTTAAGAGCAGGCCCACCACCTGTACCACGCACCGATCTATTAATTTTTGCCCACTTCCTTTTCGTATTATTTTTTAAATCACTCCATACCTTAGGCAATGCAAATAAAAATGTTTATGAACAAAAAAATGTGAATAACCATGCCAGTGAAACTTTATAATTAAAGTGCTTTTGACATGCATTAAAATCTTTAGAAAAGTAGAACTAACTTTTCGCCACTTTTCTTCACTGCGATATTCTCCGATTCCCTGGCTGTTAAGAAGTTCCGCTAATTCTTTCCACATTCTTAAACAATACTGACGCCCCTGCGGCAAACACTGAGGTTTCGATAAATCTCCATTTTCTTAAAGAAATAAATATACTCATTAGAATATATATTTAAACATAAATAAAATTATAAAAAGCTCTTGTTTTTAATTTAGTGAGTACTTAACTTTTCCATGAATTCACCATCATTAAAAACTGTATGTGGCTAGTTCTGACGACATTATTAATAAAATTATAGTCGAATAAAATCGAAAACAAAATATAACTACAAACTTTTAAACAACGAGCTAAGCAACAAGTGAAACGACGCGACCCTTACTCCAAAGAGTATAGTTATAAACTGGGATTGGGAACCTTACTCTTAAGTGGTAGAACTTAAATGACGCGTTCCGAAATATAAAAAACATGGAACATTTTTATGTACCAAATATTTAATTATAATGTTGGAGTTTTCGTTCACATAATATTTTAAATTGCCTAGGACACAAATTTAAGTTATTCTTATTGCGGTGTCTATTTTTTTATCACCATAATTGACTTAAAAAACACAATTACAGCAATTTTTAAACGTATCATTTAATTACATTCGTTCTTATTGCTATTGTGTTCTAGGCATTGTTTACCTATAGTAACGTGATGCTATCGAGTACACGTGAGTAAGATTTAGGCGTTCGTGCTGCCGACAACTATAGTAATAGTTAAGTATACGTTTTCGTGTAGTTAACTCGATACGATTACATGACGTAATTGTTTAATGTTCGTGCTAAGGGTACAGATATCGACATCTTTTGCGATTGACAAAACATCGGGTAGTTATAATTTCACTAGTAAAATTATAATTTAACTGATATTAAAATTTCTCTGCGACATACGTATTTATTCTTCAGACCTTTACTTGACCATTAAGCATAATCAGTATTGGATTTAAAAAGTCATTAAAGTCCCATCACTCACTCTCACATTATGTATAAATTAACTAATAATTTCAGGAGATTCATCAGTGTAGTAGCTAGACCAAATACTATCCAGACACAAGACTTTGTATACCGTGGCAGTGCTCGTACAAACATAACTGCAGTCCAAGCTGACCAAGTAGGATGGAACCAGTACGCAAATGCTTACATTATTAGCGGAGGCATAGGTTGGAACAACGTGACTGTTAGACTACAATCTGCAAGAGGATACGGTTTTAACTTCACAGTTTCTGTTTGGGGACGTTATTGATAATATAAATAAATAAATAAATAAATAAATAAATAAATAAATAAATAAATAAATAAATAAATAAATAAATAAATAAATAAATAAATAAATAAATAAATAAATAAATAAATAAATAAATAAATAAATAAATAAATAAATAAATAAATAAATAAATAAATAAATAAATAAATAAATAAATAAATAAATAAATAAATAAATAAATAAATAAATAAATAAATAATATTTGCTGTAAATATAGTGCTAATAACTAAATATACGTACCTATGTCGAATACTAAATTTTTTTTTCATTTTTAAAAGACCCTATTAGCGATATATTCCTTTATGTATAATCATACCACCATTATAAAGGTATGCTTTGGCTAAATCGGTAAGGAGGACATGGTCATCAATTAATCATAAATGCGAAAGTTTGTTTGTGTGTATGTTTGTTACTCCTCCAAAAGTAGAATCAGCCCAGCCGTTTTAAAGTAAAGACTTTAAAACGGCTGGACTGATTTGGATGAAATGACAGACAGACTATGGCTTGGAGTGGCATAAAGTCTATATTATTAGTAGTTTTAAAAAAGATGACGCTAACTGTATAAATACAAAAGCCGCACCCGAGTGAAGGTAAGCCGGTAGTTTTATACAAAATACTTGTCATCTAATAAAGAGGTGAATAAGCAAACTTATTTTTGCATCTTCCACTATGTCTATACTAATATTATAAAGAGGTAAAGTTTATGAGTTTGTGGGTTTGTGAGTTTGTAAGTTTGTGACGTTGTAGAGTAATCTCTGTAATTACCTGAACCGATTTAGATGAAATTTGGTAAGAAGATAGTTTGGAACCCTGGAAAGGAAATAGGGTAGTTTTTATCCCGGAAATCATTCCTTAAGGGGGTGAAAATGGGGATGAAAGTTTGTATTGGGAAGCAAGGTAGGGACGAACCCGAGCGAAGCGAGGGTGAGTCGTTAGTATTTAATAAGCTAATATAAGTTAATCATTTTTACAGGTTTTGGAGAAATGGATATATGAGAACATAAAAATTAATTTACGAAAATTTTCATTATGTATGTTTTACTGCTCCGGAAGTCTTAGTTGTTATCTACAACTGCTTGCATACCTGCTTGTATTATAGCGATGTTAATCTCAATATAATTTTAATAATAATAAATAATAATAATGTCCTCCTGATCTATTTTTGACACGGCGACTAATCTCACTGAGACTAGCGAGTGCGCAGGAGATACTATAGTGCACAAGTGTACGCGCAGACATAACGTGCACTCTATTCCTTTTACGCTCAAAGTCCGATAGGACGATACTTCGACATGACCGGTCAGAGTTAAGGCGCAGTATCTACGGCTTTTACGTGCTCTCCGAGTCACAGGGTTGCAACACCACCAACTTTCCAACTCCGGGCTACTACTGAGAAAATCATAATAGAAAACTCAGCAATTAAACTTGGACCGATCCGCGACTCGAACCCAGGACGTCTATATCTACAACCGTACGCTAGCCAGTAGCCAGTATACTACTGAGGTAGTTAAGTTAAATATTTATTAGTATTACGTACGTTTTACAAACGTGCAAGATAAATTCTTGACTTACTGGTTGCACTAAACTTATAAGAAGGAGCCTCGTAGTTACAAAGTACCTAGAAAATTGCTCGAACAAAAAATAAATTATAAGCCAATGTAATAAATCAGATAAAGATTAAATAGTAATTTTTATGGAAAAGTGATAAGTTTAGTTAGTGTTGAAATATTGTTATAATTGTTTTATTGATTTTATCAATTGTAAATCGGATCATCTTTGATTTTAGATATATAGATGGAAATAGATTATGTTGAACTTTAGAGCATTTAAAAAAAGAATCTGTATATAATCTGCATAAATATTATAAATGTCAAAGTTTGTGAGTATGTATGGATGTTTGTTACTCTTTCACGCCAGAACGGCTGAACGGATCTGGATGAAATTTGGCACAGAGATAGATTATAATCTTGAATAACACATAGGCACACTTTTTATCCCGGAAAAATATACGGTTTCCGAGGGATAGATTTGTTTTTGTTTTTCAAATAGCTAGTAGTCAATAAATGTGTTATGAAATATTTGGGTAATTCGATAAAATGTCATTCTGGGGGGAAATTCATATACCTACTCTAAGCCTTTTTAGGTTTACCAACCAGAAGGGTGCCAACGGAACCCTATTACTAAGCCTCCGCTGTCAGTACGTCCGTCAGAGGGTTGTAACTCATGAACCGTAATAGGTAGAGAGTTGAAATTTTCACAGAGTATGTACTTCTATTGCCGCTATTACAACAAATAATAAAAATAAAAATTATTTGCTTAGGAATTAATAATTAATATTAAGGAATTTTACATTTTTGTTTAGAAACATAACATTTTAAGCTTGTCGGGCGTTTTCCACCCTTAGGGGTGGTATTTTTTTTTCAAATTCAAATGGGACTAATCTGGAAGTATACTCTTTCAAACAAAACAAAAAATGTCTAAATCGGTTATTAATTGAGGATTTCTGAGTTAGCAAACATAAAAAAAACAGCCGAAGTGCGAACCTCCTCTTTTTTGAAGTCTGTTTAAATCCACATTTCGAATAATCCATTAGCAAATCTTATACATATGCAAAATGCAAATAGAAACAATAGCTTACCTCAGCCTAAATCTACTCGGAATCATTTCATATACCGTGATAATATTATCTGATTCATAGTGGCCAATCTTATGTGAGATTAGCCTCCGGAAGATAATTGCTATAATGTACAATGTACACTGTACGTGTCTCTCTCACAGCTCATCGGACGGCTATCCGATACGGGCGAAAAGAGATGCCAGATAGACGTGTAGGGTTTTTATTATTTTTAAGGCTTTGCGCCTCAAAGAAAAACTCAACCCTTATAGAATTACTTACCTTATTTTCTGCAAATTTGCTATACTGATAATATTCAATTTCCAAGATCCTAAAAATACAAATAGTCCATGGAGATTTCACATAACAAATATAAAAAAGAAACATGCTTTTTACTAAATACCATAACGTACAGAGTACGCGAATCTGACGCGCACTTATGAGATCTCTCCGAGAATAATTATCTAATTTCTTTTCATGAGTCACTTACAGCTGTCCATAATATTTATCTGAATTTATAATAATAGCAGATAAAAGATAAGCTTATACAACAAGTAGGAATATATGACCATATTTTTCAATATCTGTTTACAGATGCACACTGTTTCTTAAGATAAACGCTTATTATTACTTTCCAGATGAAATACTTCTTTCCCCTTTTGACTTTGGCTGTATTGGTGGTGGCATGTAAATCTGCCGAGGTACAAAAGCAAAATGGTGCTAGATTAAGTGCTGGCTGGATACGACCTGGAGACATTTTGTTACAGAGGTAAAGTATCCTATTAGGTACTATATATAATTACACAACTCTATAAAAAAAGAAATTTTCGTTGTCCTAAAACTTATTTATGATTTTTCTAATCATTATGATTTAAAATAAAGGAAAAATGTCCATATTCCTTAAAAAGTTTGCTTTTGTGGTAGTTATGATAATTAGTAAATCCTTTTTATTGCTCTGATGTTTTTTAAAATACCGCGAATTAATTCAATCCAGAAGAATAAGGAGAACGTTTTCATTAAGATATCATGGAATTTGAACATCGTTATCAGGGCCAATACAACGAAAATATGATGGGGAACTACATTTGGGGCTCAGTGAGAGAAAGTACTTATGAACATTTAATTATATTCGATACTTATATAAACTTTAAGTTATAATACATACATAAAAGGGACTGATTTTCCAAATCAAATCTGGTCAAAAAATCCTAATATAGTGAAAGCGATTAGTTATCATTTATGATTAATAATTTGAATTTGTTTTGCCCAAAAATTGCCTGGAAGAGCGATCTCTAGCGATAAGGTTGCCTATTGTACTATTTTTACTTTAATTTGTTTCTATTATGTTATGCAAAATAATCTGGGCAATAAAAATATTTTTATTTGTATTTCAGGAGGAATGTATATCTCGGTGGCAGACCAAACGCCATTCAGACTCAAGATTTTCAATATCGTGCCACCGGTGGAACTGTTATATCGGCAATCAACGCTTATCAAGTAGGATGGGAACAGTACGCAAGTGCCTATATTATTAGAGGCGGAATAGGATATAACTATGTGACAATAAGATTGCAAGCCTCGAGAGGCTTCGGATTTAATTTTAACATTGAAATTTGGGGTCACTGACATTAATGATAACTAAAGCGTATATTTAAGCCAATTTTATAAAAAAAGTAAGAATATGGTTTTGTTGTAAGTACTTAAATAAACAGGCTTCAACATATTATTTTTTAATTTAAAATTCCTAAAGAACATAATATGTACGAACATTTAACAAAAAAGGAATATTATTTATGAGAAAGATAATATATTAAGATTTTATTTATTAACTAGCGACTCACTCTCGCTTCGTTCGAGTTTTTACCGGTACGTTTTATCGGTTAGGAATGATAGACTATATATTATATATACATAGGTACAAAATAAACAGTTCTGATTTTATAGCTGTTTTTTTTTGGGTTTTCCCTATTTTTTTATACTCAAAATACCACAGACACACCCACAATAAAACCAAAACAAGAATTATTCAAATTAGTTTAGCCATTTTTGAGTTTTAGCAAGACTAACTAACGGTAATTTATTTTTATGTACATACTAGCATTGCCCGCGGCTTCGTCTGTATCTCGTATCAATCTGAAGCTTAACGAGTACGTATTAAACGTATTTAGAATAATATTAGCATTTACCCGCGCCTCTGCCTGCGTAAATTAAAACTAATGCATTTTAATTTTACGTGGACAACGAATACAATAAGGGATAACGGAACGGATTCTATTTTCTGAGTTTATTTGATTAAAATTTTCATTGATTCATTGACTTATCAAAGATACCTTTAAAATTGTCTACTCTTGCATTCTTAATATAAAAGTTTTATAAATAAGACGACTGAATAAATAAATAGAAACATACATACGAAAATTTTACTAAGTTATACTGTAATAACTAAGAAAGTATTAATAAAAAAATATACATTATAAAAAAAAACCTGACTGCTTAAAAAGCGAACGAAAAGGGAACGGAATAGGAGAAGGGTACACGTTAGCGATGGAAAATAGTATTATGCAGTCGGAGACACACGTAGCTAGGATATGTATATGTATAAAGCAGGGCTCAGAAAACCATTCAATTTTCAAACCAGTTTTGGTCATTGGCCAAAGGTATTTCTGTTTAAGGTTTCGGTTACGTTCTTTAACCGATTAAAACTCGGAAAACGGTTTAAGACGAATTTAGATTCCATGATCTAACGAGCGAATTTAAATTAACTGGTAAAAATGAGTTTTTGTGCGAATGTGTCGATGGCTTAGTACAAAGAAGGATATACATATGTAAGTTTCTTACTTATGGATGAATTACCGGTATATTTCTAACCTTTCTCTAAGAATAACCATTAACCATTATTATTTCGTTTTACTAAAGCGTTTGATTTTATTTACCGGTTAATAAATGGGAGATGAATTAACCAAAACATTACCGAAACCGTTTTATTACAAAAAATATATTATTATTACCTTTTTTTATTAAAAAAATAGAAGTAATCGTAATCGAAATCGTAATCATCGATTATTAAGTAATCGTAATCGCTAAGTAATAATCGTTTCTACTAACTAGTTATTAGTTACAACTTTACGTACAGCTTAAACTAAAAAGGTTTAAAATGGTTCCTATTGACTGCTTTTTGAATATCCAGATTCCAAATTTTAAATCCTGTAGAAGTGTATTTGATAAGAAAGAAGAGATTGTGTTTAATAAGCGTTCTCGTAGGCTACAGACTTTTAATCGGTCTGAGTATATAGGCGAGTTAGGTCAAGCGCATGTTTTTTCTAACATTGGGAAAAGTTTTTACATATGTCACCTAAATACATTGAGTTGGTTGTGGTGACTCACCGACTTGAAAAGCCAGTACTACCCACTACAATCTATCAGAAATCTACCCCGTCTTAATGTGGCGCCGCAGGATCACTAAAACACTCAACCACGACACCCCAATGGCGCCCTACCTAAGCGGACATGAGAGCTCGTCTGACCATGGGATAAGAGATAAGTTTTAATGAGGTTATTTACTTTTACATCTACGACAATAAGCATGTTGCTTTCACGATCCTTTTTAATATTAGAGAAGTGTCAGGAGCAACCCGCATGGTACACCTCTAATACAACGAGGTAGGCCTTCACCTTCCAAGTCTGCCTTGGCTTCACGTCTGGCTGGATTGCCGGACGCTAATGAGCCTATATTCTAGTCCAACTATATTGGCCTAAGGAATTTTATTTTGATGCACATGTTTATGAAGTAAAGAATAAAGGCTCGAACAATCTGTCAGCCAACAAAAAGATCTGTAATTTTGCTGCGGCTGTTAGTGTACATCTAGACTAGGCATCTAGACAAGAACTACAGAACCAAATCTACGGATAGAGTCACCCCTATAATAAGGTGCTAGATAATACAAACAGTCATACATACATATGTTATCTAATCAAGTAAGTCAGATGAGTATTACAAAATTCTAAGGAAATAAGATAAGTTAATTAATTGTGAAATGTTATTTTCAGTACTTTATCGATAAATTTATCAATTGAAAATCGGGTCATCTTCGATTATGTACGTGTGCGTGAGCCGTGACTAGATAGATAATATTTAAATAATAAAGGATTATTATCTCCAAATTTTTACAACAAATTTTTGTATTTTATTGTGTTAAGTAATTCCAGTTTGTTTGAAGAAATTACAGCAAAGAGCTTACTAGTCTAGATCTAACATTATTCCAGAATCATAAGCTCACAGATAGATGCAGGCAGATACTGTTAAATTCCATTACCTATAAACCTTTTTGTCCTAGATTCTATGTAAATCGGATTATCACACAATTTTCGTCGTAAAACTGAGAATGGATGCTGAGTTACTCTACTTCACCATAATAAAAAGAGGTTATGACATAACACGAAGAGCTATTATCACAAAGAATTATAATCAAGATTTGTGTGAATCATAGATTACATTACTCATTAAAATCATTATCAATAATTAAATACTTCTTGGAATGAATTTATGATCATTTCACTAATCCTATAAAAAATGGGGACAAAGCCATCCTTCTCCGATACTCTATTCTGTACTCCGCTATTTCCATCCTCTTTAATATGCAATGGTCAAATTTGATACCAATATTTTGTCATGGAATATATCCTTTATTTGATGAACATAAACAACGTAGCCAATATTTGTGATTTTGATCCACAGAGTATATTTAAAAATTACCATGAATTATTCATTTTATTAAAGGCTGTTGCTATTCGTCCAATAATCGGATGAATAAAAAAAATATATTTTTGTTTGATTCTTGTCGGTTTGTAAGAATATTTACCAATTTTTTTTGTTTTGTAATGTAAATAAAGTGATTTTTAGATGCAGGAATTTCTATATGCAAAAAGAAAAACCTTAATCAACCGAGCTGATAACTTATTCTTTTAAATCCCAACGATTTTTAAGTTTAAGAGTTTTTAAGGTAATAAAAAAATACTTTTAGATGCAGGAGTTTCACTACGCAAAAAAACCTTAACCTACCGAGCTGGGCCGAATTACTTATTCTACTTACTTATTTATTAGTCTATTCGTCCTTCCTTATAATTTACAAATTTTATAAAGGACCAATAATTTTTTATTCGTCCTATTAAAGGACGAATAGACACTCAGTTTATTATAATAAAATATTCTCCTATTGCATCGTGCTAGTGATAATTTTCCTATCCTCTTATTTTTATTATAATATTTACATATTTGGCTTTTATTAACGTTGGTGGTATACTCGTATATTATTACTATTATTTATTTTATTTATTTTGTATGTATGTATGTACACAGTCTACCATTTTGTATACTGATTCCTCTACTCTAAGGTTGCCTGGAAGGTCGCTTCTAGCGTTAAGGCCGCCTGCTGTGAATCTCTTTTTGCTATGTATATGCTATGTATATTTCTCTTCTTTATATATTTCTTGTGTGGTGTGCAATAAAATGTTCATTATTACTATCATTATTGTTACATACAGGTGGTTATGTTAAGGCTCATCGGCTAGAAAAATCAGGATAATACTGACCTCCTAAAACTAAGACGAAAGAAGTTTAGTGTAAGTGTCCTTTAGTTATCCGTCATCAGTTCTTGTCTGATAGCTTTGTTAAAGTGTGAAAGTTAACTAATTACCTACAGATAAATAATTTAATTTCAACTTTTAGGAGGAACGCAATTGTCTATGGTAGACCAAACACTATCTAGACCCAAGACGTTGTATACACTGGTGCCTCTCGTACGACTATTTCGGCAATCAACGCTTACCAAGTGAGATGGAATCAGCACGCAACTGCCCGCATTATTCGCGGAGGTGTCGGATATAGCTTTGTGACCATTAGACTGGAATCCGCAAGAGGATACGGATTCAACTTCAACGTCAATATTTGGGGCCGCCATTAATTAAAATTATTTTCAAAGAAAAGAATTATACTTTCCTTTTTTTTAAATCATATTTTTGTAAAAAAAGAAATTTTTATTTGCAAGCAATAAAATAAAGCGGTCTATTAATGTTTATGTATCTTTTGTATTTAACAAAAATATTTATAATAATATATTAGATTTCTGAATGTAAAAGAATTGTATTTATTATGTACATATGATGATGTTCTCCTAGCCGATTCCGGCCACGGCGGCCAATCTCAATGAGATTAGCCAACTGCGCAGGAGATATTATAGTGCTCAAGTGTACGCGCAGACACAAGTGCACTCTCTATTCCTATCACTCTCATACTCCGGTGGGACGACCACTCGACACGACCGGTGAGAGTTAAGGCGCAGGACCGACAGCTTTACGTGCTCTCCGAGGCACGTGAAACACCGCCAACTTCCCAACTCCGGGCTGTTACTGAGACTTACTATACAGGAAGACTCAATAACTAAACTTGGCCCGACCCGGGACTCGAACCCAGGACCTCCGGGTGTGCAGCCGTACATGCTAGCCACTACACCACCGAGGCATGTACATATATATGTACAGCCTCGGTTAATAGGGATTTAAAAAATGAATGGTTGGTAATTTCGATATTTGACCGCGTTCTTAAGAAAATATCGGTTCCGCAGTGGCATGCATGCCATGGTAGTAGGCGCAAAGTCAAATAAGGTGCATGTCAATGAGTATGATAGACATAACATCATTGCCGTTCCTACTTCTTGTAATTGTGCACCCTGGTACTGAACACCATTTTTACATTTTCTTTATTAGATAATAGTAAATAATAATAAAAATAAACGATAAATATAAATATAAAAATAGATAAAATTGTCATTAATTTTTTATATCTAAATATTAGAGTTAGCCAGAAATGGATAATTTAATTAAAAATGTTTATGTTTTTGGAAATGTACAAATATAATAATATGTATTATAAACATAAAGTACCTGGGCTACCGAGCTTCGCTCGGAGTTTTTGGCCTAAAGTACAATTAAAAAAAACTGGAATAATTATAAAAAAAAACAAAAAGTAAAAACTTTATATCCGATCGGGATTCGAACCTTTGATTGTGAATCTTGCGCCTTGGCCGCTTGACCATAATGCTTATGCCCGAGCGTGCGTAATTATCGACCATGTTTTCTTTCGTGGAATAATGCGAAAGAAAACCGCATGAAAATTCGAAAACACGCGTTTTCCCAGACATAAGTCTAATATAGATCGATTTATCGCCCGAAACCCCCTGTGTACTAAATTTCATGATTTCATGAATGTCGTTGGAGCCGTTTCCGAGATTCAGATTACATATATATATATATATATATATATATATATATATATATATATATATATATATATATCTAAATATACAAGAATTGTTCGTTTAAATATATAAGATAGTTACAAGTTACTATGCTTTAAAGTTTTGTTACTCCAAAATATATTTTGTTAAAATTACTTATTATACTTCCGTCAGTTAATACAGAACTTTTATAATTATCGTAGATTAAGGTACCCTTTTTTTATTCTGACAGTGTTGTGAATACCGGTAATAGGAATATCCGGTTAAAAGATAACACAAAAGATAGACAAGTCAAGTGCTATGTAAGCATGGCGCGCGTGTAACAATTAGGCGTTACGACGCTTATTAGATGCCAGTCGTGTTCTAGCATCACGCTGGATTGCACGTCTATAAATATTCTTAGTTTTTCGCAACGCTGCATTTTTTCTCATTTGGATGTGCAAATATAATAATATATTTTTTTTACCAAACTCTCTATACGTCGATTTTTTCCTGAGATATTCGACTATGAATGAAAAAGGATCCTTTTCTTTTTTATCATCAATATATTAGCATTTTTCTGCCTCCGTGGTGTAGTGGCTAGCATGTACGGCTGCACACCCGGAGGTCCTGGGTTCGAGTCCCGGGTTGGGCCAAGTTTAGTTATTGAGTCTTTCTGTATAAGCAAGCCTCAGTAACAGCCCGGAGTTGGGAAGTTGGCGGTGTTTCACCCCCGTGCCTCGGAGAGCACGTAAAGCCGTCGGTCCTGCGCCTTAACTCTCACTGGTCGTGTCAAGCAGTCGTCCCACCGGAATATGAGAGTGACGGGAATAGAGAGTGCACTTGTGTCTGCGCGTACACTTGTGCACTATAATATCTCCTGCGCAGTTGGCTAGTCTCAATGAGATTGGCCGCCGTGGCCGGAATCGGTCGGGAGAACATCATATTAGCATTTAATGGATGCACATTAGATTATAGGGTAATTTTAAAAATTTAATAATTTTTCTACTAGGATCTATCATAGTTTAAGAAATATATTTTTCATTTTTTACATTTTTTTACGATTTTTTAACAAAACTATAACTAAATTTTGTAACTGTCAACTTATTTTTTTGAAATAATAATTTTAATAAATAAGCAAGATTAGACTATGAATGAATTTCATTTCTTTCTGTAATTACCTTAAAATCAATTTTTTCAGAAAAAAGAATTAACTCCGAAATCGATCAAAAATTAATACAATATCGGTAAATTCGAAAGAATAATAATATAAATAGATTCTACCGGAAGAAGTAAAAGGTATACTTAGAATTCCAATTTTCATTATTTTTTCACGACTTATCAAAATGCTTATGGCGCCATTATATAAATATTAAGCGTTAAATTAAAAACTTAAGAACAACATTTCCTTCGTAGAAAAGTGTACTTTATTGTATTATAAAGTAGACTTTTTTTTTGTATGGGCTGGCACCGATTTCAAAAATATTTGATTAGGTGTGTATTTAATAGGTAGGCTTTAATTACTTAGCCAAAGCACACCGACTTCGAAAATATTTGATTAGGTATGTATTTAATAGGTAGGCTTTAATTACTTAGCCAAAGCACACCGATTTCGAAAATATTTAATTAGGTATGTATTTAATAGGTAGGCTTTAATTACTTAGCCAAAGCACACCGACTTCGAAAATATTTGATTAGGTATGTATTTAATAGGTAGGCTTTAATTACTTAGCTAAAGCACACCGACTTCGAAAATATTTGATTAGGTATGTATAGTAAATGAAAACTACCAACTTTATTTTTTACTTTTTAGTGCTTTTGTTTGAAGTAGGTTTTTATTTTTTTGTTAAAATGTTTTAGTAACAGTTATGCGTTACATTTAAATGTCTATGGCTGGAGATAGAATTTTATAATCTGTTTTCATACTACGGTCTGCAGTGATAACATTATCAAAAATAAAAATCAGTTGCTGATAATCGATAAGGATAAACAGTGAGTATATATGAGAATACTTTCAGTCACTGTTTACATCTTATCCTGCTTTGATACGACTTGAAGGTAAGACATTTGAATTATTAAATTAGATTTAGTTAGTATCTAAAGTAGAAAAATTTAAACAGCTAATTGTATATTATAAAATTAAGTAATGGTTTTTAACTTATTTTAATACTTAAAGATTATTGATTCTGCTGTACCTATATTTATTTTTCTTATTATTTGCCTTTAATAAGATGAACCAATTTTAGCTAAAACTAAAAAAGAAGCAGATACCACAGATATAAGTACTTTTAGAGGTGACTTAAAATAATTGTTAAGAAATATATTAACTAAATAAATATATGATTTTCAGATGAAATACTTCTTTCCCCTTTTGACTTTGGCTGTATTGGTGGTGGCATGTAACTCTGCCGAGGTACAAAAGCAAAATGGTGCAAGAATTAATGCTGGCTGGATACGACCTGGAGATATTTTGTTAACTAGGTATTTTTTTTCCATAAATTATTTAATCATATATAAGTTATTTGGCGGAATGTCGTGAGTTCTGCAGAGAGAATATAATATGCATAAATTACGTTAGCTTTAGAAAGATACCTTTTTGTGTGTTGTCTCTATATGTTTGTTAAGCTATTGTTATTTAAATTGTCCATGTTCTTTATGGCTGTTTCCAATAACTATCTAAAGTTGCCTAAAAAAATTAAAGTAAAAAAAAAAACAACATGTATGTGGTACGTGTCAAGGAGTCGAATTTAAATTTTCTTCATGGAATACTTAAAAATTGTAATAATTTAAATTGTTCAAATTCATTAAAAGTGGTACAAAAATATTTTATGAAAAATAATTAGGTTTTATAAAATATTTCTTTAATTAATTCTTTAATTACCTACTTATAAATAATTTAATTGCAAATTTTAGGAGGAACGTATTTATCAATGCCATACCAAATGTTATCCAGTCCCAAGACTTTATATACCGTGGTGCCGCTACTACATTTATTTCGGCAATCAGTGCTTACCAAGTGGGATGGAACCAGTACGCAACTGCCTACATTATTGGCGGAGGTATCGGATCTAACAACGTGACCATTAGAATGCAAACTGCAAGAGGATACGGATTCAACTTCAACATCGACATTTATGGTCGCTATTAATTAAAACAAGTTTAAGAGAAATCATACTTCTATTGTTTTATTATATCTTTTTTTAATCATACTTAATTTTTGCAAAAAACATTTTTTTCAAGTAATGAAATAAAGAGCCCTATCAATATATTCTTATAGGTTTTTTTTTAATTTATATAAGATTTATGGATGTTAAAGATTTGTATATTATACGAGTATACTAGTAGAACCCGCGGCTCAGCTCGCGCTAGAACTACAAATAAATCTCTAAAAAGGTAGGTTTTACACAAACTTTCATGCTCTATTTTACCCTTATGGGATGAATTTCGAAAAATGTTAAAACACGTATTTATGTAATTGTATCGAAGACCATTAATACTAAGTTTCAAGTAATTCTGATCACAAATATTTTTTGGGTTGTATTATAACGTGACGTAATCTCCCGCGGTAAAAAGTAGCCTATGTCACTCTCCAGCCCTCCAACTATCTCCACACAAAAATCACGCCAATCCATAATTCTGTTTCGACGTGAAAGAAGAACTAACAAACAAACACACTTTCACATTTATAATAATAGTATATTTATAGTAGTAGTATGGCTGATAGAGATTTAAAAAATGAAGTGTTGGGGATTTCGCTTTTAAGATAATGCCGGTTCCACATTGGCGACTTGCCACGGTTGTAATGATAAATATTAAATAGGATAATAGATAAAAAGAATACTTATGTCATTTTATTATAATATTTGTCGCAACCCCAATCTTAAGAAAAATATATTTATTATTTTGTAACAAGGGAATTAAATGTAAGAACAGATAAATGCATTCAATTTTCAGAAAGCTAAATAATTAAAAGAGTCAAGCTCCTTAGTTGCGTTACTTGGTAGGTATATCTGTAACTGATGCTCAATGAAACAATGATTTTTTTATTTTGCTTCTTACTGTAATTTCTGTAAACATTTTTTTCATACAAACTTTTACGTTCATAATTTTAGTATGATGCTATAATAAGTGTAATTTAGTAAGTATAGTAAAGTTAATATTTTAAAAAAATGCAATAATACAAAAGAGATTTTCGTTCGTTATTTCGTCAAATTCAAAACATTTTTATTGAACACTAGCGACTCACCCTTGCTTCGCTCGGGTTCGTCCCTAGCTTGATTAACCATACAAACTTTCATCCCCATTTTCACTCTCTTAAGGGATGATTTCCGGGATATAAAGTATTCTATGTCCTTCCCAGGGTCTCAAACTATCTTCTTACCAAATTTCATATAAATCGGTTCAGTAGATCCAGAGATTACCCCCTACAACGTCACAAACTCACAATATCACAAACTCACAAACTTTACCTCTTTATAATATTAGTATAGATTAAAGTATAACATTTCTTTACTGAGCATCAAGAGAACGTCTATCATCAGTAGGTACGGAAAGGAAAAGCCTTAGCCCTGAGAAGAACTTGCGAAAAAAAATTATCATTAATATGTATATACATATATAATTCATCGGTCGTATTGATATTTGTCACAATCTAGTTAATTTACTAACGCGCGGCATTGAATTCCGTCATCCAACACGTACGTCTCTCATGATTAATGAATATGTCGGCGTTGTAAATCTGTATAAGTAATCTTAATCTAAATTTAAATTAATTTGTTTAATATAACATTATAAAACATAAAGTTTCATAATTTGAAAAAAACACATTTCTATAGTATATTCATAGGTACAAGTAAAACATACATACATGTGTATGTGTGTACAAAATAAATGTAGGTACTTTTACGTAATCTTATAATTAAAAAATAACAATATTTTTATCTTTTAATTAAAATGTATGATTGTTCTGTAATTTTATCGCGATAAATTGATTTCCTTTAAAGAAATTTTTTGCAAGTAGGTAGGTACCTATATTAGAATAATGTTGCCACATAATTAACACGTTCGGGCCAGCAACGTCTCATGACGGCAAAATTAGAAATTAAATAATTGACACAACGTTTAGTCACGTCTACTTTAAACGTGCATTTATTCGCCCTACGTTTCATAACGTCAGGAGTCAATACGATATTCTACTAAAGAGGTATTTGCGCCGCATCGTTTGGAAGTTTCAAAAGTCTACTGCCGCAACGAACCAACTTTTAGTGGCATTTTGCTAACATCCGTCACGCGCACACATGCTCACATACGCATACCCACAACGTCCGTACACGTCGCGGGGAGTAGCGACGCGGCTAGCTTCTGTCGTTCTGCGCCGCATCAAGAGGAGCGCGTGCTGCGCGAACGTCGCTCAACCGTATTGAAGTGAACGATAAACCGTAAGATTTTTATAATATGTTTATTTTTAATGATAATTATAAATAAGTGTGTATATTTAAATGTATATTACATTTATTTTTGTATAATTATAATAATTAGTTGATATATTTTAATTTTGATATTGTTTTAGATGGATAAAAAGCGTGTCTACAGTAAGGGGTTTCTGAAGGTATTTGAAGATTCTTCGTCTTGGGAAGTTACTCCTGATCCTTTCAGTGATGATGGAGAGTACGATACTGACAAGGATTACGATCCAGAATCCATAAATACCGATAGCGACGTAATTCATCCACAGCAAGGGTCCACAGTAATGGGGATAGAACTCCCCCTTGCGGACATCCTCTTGCTGTGGATATATAGATAGCTGTATCGTGGAGGGCTAGTTTTGCTTTTCTGCTAGTGAGCATAGATTTCACCCACTTTACCGTTGTTGGGTCATTTTTAGTTATCAACCCATTTACCAACAGCGAAGTAGAAGAGTTATCAAAAGCACCTTCGATATCTAGAAATGCACATAGTGCTATTTCCTTGTCTTCTAACGCCTTTTCCACTTGGTCTATAAGACTTGTAAGGGCAGTCTCGGTTGATTTGCCTTTACGATATGCATGTTGGTTAAAGTGGATTGGACTTTTAGTCAAGACTTCATCTCTTATATATCTATCCAGTACCTTCTCCATTGCTTTGAGTAAGAATGAAGAGAGGCTTATTGGTCTAAAAGACTTTGGCTGGCTATAGTCTTTTTTACCAGTTTTAGGTATAAATATGACCCTGACATGGGTCCATATATCTGGTACATATCCCCAGGCTCGCTCTGAAGATTTATATATTCAGGTGGGGAAGGAGGATGTTCACCCCTTGCTGCAGTAAGATTGGTGGTATCCCGTTTTCCCCTCTCGCCTTCTATGGCCCACCGAACATGGTTGGGTCTTATGATCTTGGCAGCTTCGCACCAGTCCTCACTGCGAGGTCTAAGAAACTCACGCAATTACCGTTACAAAGATACAGATTCCGAAGAAATCAAAAAGTAAATGTCAACGTGTTAGGACTTTGATAGTCGTTTTACATAAGCATAATTCACTTTCAGTAACGCAACGTCTATGAACGTCTACGTAACTAAACGTTGCTCTTAGGTTTCTATACCTTATATTGACTGTATGCGACGCAGCGTTTATTAACGTCAACGTGATTTGACGTTGTTTTCTAGCTTATGGTAAATACTCGAACTATATGTGACGCAGCGTTATAAAACGTCGACGTCTTTCAACGTTTGTGTCGCATCAAAAATTAATCTTGCACACATGAAGAGCACAACGTTTATCAACGTAAATCCAATTTGTATGGGGAAACGGTGTGTCACAATGCGAGAATCTTCTTACGGCGGCGCTGGGCCGAACGTGTTAAAAAATATTGGCAACCATAATAAGTCCTAAGAAGCCAAAAAACAAACAATTTGAATTGTACAATAATAAGGTGATTCAAAATCTTCAATATACGTAATTATAATTAACTAGCGGCTCACCCTCGCTTCGCTCGGGTTCGTCGCTAGGTACGTTTTAAATAGATATAAAAAGAAAAAATCTTTCTTTCTCACATTTTAATTATATGTTTTAATACTTACCTATTCCGGACTAAGAGAAATCCAAAAATTAAAATATCATAAAAATTGGAACGCGGTCGAACGGGATAAAAAGTATCCTATGTCCTTCTCCTGGCTCTAAACTACCTCCCTGCCAATTTTCAGCTAAATCGGTTCAGCCGTTCTTGAGTTATAAGCGAAGTAACTAACACGACTTTCTTTTATATATATAGATTTAAATATATTATAAACTAAAATATTTAGGGTTCCAGCGCGAAATCGACAATCTTTAAAAATTATGCAAAATTCGATATTACGTTTGTAAACTGCTAGAAACGTACCCGAGCCAAGCGAGTGTAAGTCGCTAGTACTGAATTCTTCTACTGAATAATTCTATGTATATTTGTAAATTATAATTATATTTTAAAAAAAGATTATACTTTAAGAAAAGATATTGGTCCCGCTGAGTTTCTTTCGCCAGTTCTTCTCAGGTCTGAGGCTTCTTCTTTCCGAACTGGTAGTAGACTCATGACGTTCAGTAAAAAATTGTAATCATTTAATGCTGAATAAAATATTTTGATTTGATTTGATATGTACTTGAGAAAACAAAGTTATTATGAAATCAAAGACAGACACTTCATTTTTTTTAATGAAAAAAATTTTTTTGTTGAATGAGTTTATCCATATATGATAAAATATATATTTATTATCACCTCCAGATAAATTTCTAAGAAGTTAATTAACTTTCTAAGAAATCTATTGTTAACTGTAACGACGGCGTGTCGGCGGTCGTAGAGGGATTTAACCACATTCATGAATTATAAACAGCAAGTTCTTAAACTTGGCAAGAAATTCAAAGTTGCACAATTTTTATTACAGCTACCCTGAAAACAATCGTAAATAATGACTCTTTTAATGGACTTCTCAGTTAACTTCCTGAAATGTTTAAAACTTTCATTTAGTTTCTAGTTTTACTTTCATAAAAGTTTTCCTTTCTATACTATTCTAGTTAAAATTTGCGGACGACAGATTATTTTGCTGCTTAAAAATAATTATTTATAGAATAATCAATAAATACGAGTAGTTACATCTTTATTATGATATCACTACCTACGTTTTGACGGCTAGTATGGAATAGATAGACTATTATGTGATATATAGCCTATAGCCTTACTCTATAAACGGACTATCTGATGCAAAAAGATTTTTTAATATCGTAAGCATGCCTCTATAATATTAGTATAGATAAAAATATATAAGTATCTAAGGGTCATCTAAGGTAAAAAAAATGGCTATAATGCTAATAAGTTATAAAATTGATATTTGATTATTGATAGATTTTGTTTTGGTATATATATGTATGTATGTATGTATGTATGCATGCATGCTCAAAAATCTCATATAATCTCGTGTCCGTGTTACAGTTTAACAGAGGACAAAGTTCATGATTCCCTTTGTTCAAAACCATATTTGAGGTCATTACAAAAGTTGTAGACTACATATTTTATTACAATTTCTTAATACGACTACTTTTAATGGTGGTATAGAAATATATTACACCTTTGAGGAGGAAATAATATGGTACCTTTTATCGTAAAAATAAAATATGAAGATGGTAAATAGATGAAAATTGAGTGTGGGGCCCAAAGTATATCAGAGCCGAAGAGCTCTAAAATGGCATAGTTATGCTTCTGTTGATCTATCTAAACGTATTACTAACTAGCGAGTCACCCTTGCTTCGCTCAGGTTTGTCCCTAGGTACGTTTTACTTTTTTTGAGCGGAACTCTAATTCTTTATCTAAAATAAACCTTCCATTGAAAGAAAAAAAGGCGTCAAAATTAGTCCGCCCGTTTCAGAGATTATCCGGAACAAACAGACAGACAGACAAAAATTAAAAAAATGTGTTTTTCTTTTAAGTACAGTATATAATTTTATATTCGATAAAGTAAAACGCTGGTATTTTGACATTACAAACAGACACTTCAATTTTATTTATCTGAACCTATAGATAAGTTAATTATTCTATTTTAGTTACGAAAGGAGGTTTATTTAGAACTAGATTTGTGTAAAAGTGGCATTATACATGACATCAAAAGGCAAAGATTTGTTACCCTCTTTCTCTATGGAAATATAAAGCCGTATGTGAATGAATTTGGTCCATTGCCAAACCTGACGGTGGCTGTATCCTGTACCTATTAGCAATTTACAGTCTCTTCCAAGTCGGTAAGCATTTCTTACAAAGGTTTTTGGATGTCTTTATTGCTTTATGGTTAGAGTTAGTATTCGCTTAAACTATAATTATTATTTTGCGTATCTACTATGGAATAATTTCTTAGAAATACGCAAATATTTAACTTTTTAAGTTAAACTATTTTATCATGGGTTTATTTTGGGATCAAGATCCCGACGCCCAAGAAAGGGATGGCTGGATGTCGTGAAGCAGGACATGAGAGCCAAGGGACTTACCCAGGATGATGCTAAAGATCGTGCAAAGTGGTCGAGGCTAAGCAGGAAGATTTGGTTAATTTATATTTTAAAATATTCATATTAGATTGGTAAAGTAATATTTAATTATTTATTATTATGTGACTTTTCGACTACTCCAAATCTATATTATAACTGCTAAAACATTATTTCGTTATTGGTTATTTCGCAGTTAACTTACATATTAGGGAAGAAAAACTCTACTTTTATTCAGATCCATTAACAACGTTCCCGTGGGATGACTGAGTGAGAAAAAATACATAAGTTATTGAAATATCCGTGGGAGTTCTCTTGAGTTGTTTCCAAAATTCTTATATTGGAAAGGTCACTTATTTATAGGTGCTATTGTAATAAAGCCAAATATTTTTTTGAAGGCGCTAATCTCTAGAAACGAGAATCACCAGTCAGATTTGAAAAAAAGAAATTTATAGGTTGTCTAATGAAGGAACTATACACAAATACACAGGCGGAGCAGCGGGAAAGAGTAAGCAAGTATATATTCCAATAATTTAGTTTTTTGGCTAGTTTTGTTGCCACTATTTCCCACGGATATAACTACGGTAATAATTAAGTGTACATTTGTCTTGTACATATAATTAAGTATATTTGTAGTTTAATATTAAATAATGGTAATACAGAATTTCCAAGAAAAGGTTAGCACTTTATTACTGGAATACGAATAAATTCAAATCTATACATATAATAAAATTGTAGCTTAAGCCGAATCTGTACATTAAATAATTTTTGGAAAATCTTATGGAAATAGACATTATTATCGATACAGAGGTCAAATCTATAGTTTTGAGAAATTTTGTCTGGCTGTTACATCATCAAGGAAAATCCACTGGAGGGATTTTGATGAAATTTGGTATGATGATAGCTGGTTATCCGGGTCAACATATAGGATACTTTTGACTTCGGGAAAATATTTCATCTCTGAAAAATCTATACCAAACGTTAATAGTTATATATATAGTTTATATATATAGTTAGTTATAGGATAGTTTCTACTGCGGGAAATAATCTCATCTCTGAGAATATACTAAACGTTAAAACGTAAGTAGGGACAAACCCGAGCGGAGCGAGGGTGAATCGCTAGTAATAAATAAGTCTAAAATTCTTTATATAATGTGATGCTTCGTCAAAGATAATGCTGTCACTTAATGACCTCTTAATGTTTTAGAGATCGTAGAAACAATTTCATATCTTTATTTACTTAACGTATTTAATTAAAAATTACGTATATATAAAAAAACAGGCACTTCGGTTCGTTTTAAATATAAAAAAATATTACGCACTCAATAGACAGGGAGCTCAATATAACGTTTTTATTATTGCAAAAACAAGCATTGGCTTTTTCTTATATAGGTATAACAATGTAATCTAAGTCCTTGGCTCTCATCGAAATCAGTTAAGAGATGACATGAAATGGTAACAAACAGTCAGACAGAGTTACTTTTATACCTATAATATTAGTATGGACTTGATTGCCTCGGTCGTTTAGTGGATAGCATACCATGTACGACTGAAGATCCGCAAGTCCTGGGTTTGAGTTTAGAGCGAGCCAAGCTTAGTTATTGAGTGTTTCTGTTAAAAAAGTCTCAGTTACAGCCCGGAGTTGGGAAGGTGGTAGGTAGTTTTTCACACTCGTGTGTATTTTCGTCCCACTGGAGTATGAGAGAGACAGGAAGAGTGCCCTGGTGTCTGCGCGTACATTAGTCTCATTGAGATTGGCTGCCGTGACCGAAACCGGTCAGAAGGACGTACATTATGTTTAGAAAAAAGGATTTCGCCTTAACTTGAATGGGACAGCTTAACCTAGGAAATATTATTCTCAGAATATAAACATATAATAAATAATAATAATTTTATTAAAAAACTATTAACAGTAACTAGCCATAATATGGCGTATATTGCTATATACCTAATTTATTGAAAGAATTAAAATACCTTACGTACACACTAAAGTATAACGTCAGAAATTCAAATCAATTATAGTTATCAATACTAATTTTTTTATAAAATATAGCAACACTAAAATATCAGCTCAAAGGTTAAAAAAGAGGAACCGAACACCCGAGATAATATAGGTTCTGATAAGTAACAAGAATCTCAGTAAATACACATTACATTTAAAATGAAGATATACATTATTGCATATATTTTGCCAGCAATATTTGCTGCTTCTGTGGTAAAAAATGGTGTAAAAGAAAGTGTTATTGGATTTTCTATCAAGGATTTCTATGTAAATGGAGTTAACAAAGAAAATACATCTAACATTAATCAAGAAGAAGAAATGTTGATAGCAAATATAAAAAATAATATGATGGCAAATAACGAAAGTTTATTTCCAGAAGATTTAATTTCACATGCTGCATTAACAGGAGACGGTTGTCCAATTGGTTATGCCAAAATAAATGGGAAATGTGCTGAAATTGATTATTAATAAAAATAAAACAAAGTAGAACGCTAAAAATATATTATTGTGACGTCTTGAGCCTTATGAGGTAGATACCTATTATTTTTGCTAAAAATAAAAATGTTGCTTTATATCAAGGTTACTATACTTTAGTACTTAAAAATATTTGTTAAGATGATAAGAGAAAATATGCCTAGTTTATACCATCAGAAATTATCGAAGACAAGAGCTAAAACTAGTTTTAGATAAATATAAAAGGTAAGAAATCAATTAAATACACATTACGCTTTCAAGAATGAAGATATTTATAGTTCTCATGATTTTGGAAGTAATTTTTGCTGGTGTTATACATAAAAATCGTGCAGAAAATATGAAAAAAGAAATATCAGTTCCAACAGAAGTTAAAGTGAGAAATGAAGCAAATAAAAAAGAAGATTTATTCAAAACAAAAAAAGTAATAGAGCATTCAGAAAAAAAAAGTTTTAACCAAAGTGCATTAGATGATAAAGAAGACATAAAGACGAAAAAAACCAAAGAAGACTTTGATGATACGATAATAGTATCCTACTCAGCTTTTGTGGGCGATAAATGTGCCATTGGCTTAGCTAAAATAAATGGAATTTGTGCGGATATTGATTATTAGACTGAAATAAAATAGTACGATTTTCAAAATTTATGTGGACGAAATAAGTGTTTTTTTTTTAAATTATTTAATAATATTCATAATATTTATTAATAAATTGGATTGATGGAATGAAATTGCTAAAACTTGTTTCAGATAAATATAAAAGATAAGTAATCAATCAAACACACATTACGCTTTTAAGAATGAAGATGTTTATAGTTCTCATGATTTTGGAAGCAATTTTTGCTGGCGTTATACATAAAAATTGTGTAGAAAATATGAATAAAAAACTATCAGTTCCAACAGAAGTTAAAGTGATAAATGAAGCAAATAAAAAAGAAAATTTATTCAAAACAAAAGAAGTAACAGAGCATTCAGCCAAATAAAGTCTTAACCAAAGTACAATAGGTGATAAAAAAGACATAAAGAAGGACAGAAGCAAAGAAGACTTTGATGATACGATAGTAGTACACTATTCAGCGTTCGTGGGTGATAAATGTGCCATTGGTTTAGCTAAAATAAATGGAATTTGTGCCGATATTGACTATTAGAATATATAATATCAAATTAGCTAGATTTTCAAAATTTGTGTGGATGAAAGTAGTTGTAAGTGAACATTTTTAAATCATTTAATAATATTCATAATATTTATTAATAAATTGGATTGTTCTCAATCCAATTTATTAATAATAAGGAATCTCAGTAAAACATTGCTCGTGTCATAATGATTTACATTGTCTTCTACGTATGCGTATTTTACAACTTCTTTACATATAAAAATAGCAGTTTTATACGGCTTCACCTGTCTCCTAAGAAGTTTAGAATTAAATGTAACCTCGCTTAGTTAGTAAGATAAATAAAACTATCTTTTCAGATTTTTCGTGGATTTATTTTTATTTTTGGTTCCCGTCGTTTCGTATGCTTTACATCAATCATGGTCACTAGAGAGATTCCATCTAAGAAAATTTAGCTAAGTATTAGTGTTCATATTGCTAATGATTTTTATACTTAAGCGATTTTAACAAAAAATGGAGTAAATTAACTATACATTACGTATTGAGCTGAAAATGTTTTAATAATGTTACTGTTATTATTTATTGAGTGATTATTAATTATAATTATATTTAAATTGTTTACAAACTAGTTTGATACCAAGTTAAATAAATTGTCGTTCTAGGTTTAATTAATTTTAAATTATATTTATATTTTCTTTAAATTATTCATAATAATGCCTGTCAGGTTTTTTTGTTATATATATATATATATATATATATATAAATATATATATATATATATATATATATATATATATATATATATATATATACAAAATAATATATTCCCGATCTGTCTGAATATTCTAAAAAAAGAGTTTCTCATGAAATAAGTTATAGATAGTGTATGAAAAAGTTAAAAATATTTAAAGAAAAATAAATTATTTCTTTAAATCCACCTTAGCAAGAATTTATAGCAAATAGCTAAATCTATAAATGAAAGTAAAATAAATGAAATCTATAATTGAAGAAAAAAAAAACTATATACAATATTCATTATATTGATGGCATAAATAAGTTCGTATTTCATAATATCACTACGAGAAACAAAGTTAATTTTGCGGACGAACGCGTGAAACAAAATATTCCAGGCAATGCGAGAACTCTACTCTTATATGCGGCATAACTAAAAGGAATATCCAGATTAAACAGTCAAAAGTAAACCTATTCACCGCAGACACCTATTGTCCCATTGTCCCGTTTGTTACATGTTAAAATTTGTAGAGAAACAAACGCTTTACTATTTGTTTTTATTTTAAAGTGTTATTTTCTAAAATGAATTAATATATTAATGTCGATTCAATTAATGTTTAACCGATTTTAAATACGGAGTTTGCTTGTGCTTAGTAGCTGTGTACATGTAGTAGTCCAGTCAAATAAGGTCTGAAATCAAAATGTTGGCATTCAACTTTGCATTTTTGATATAATGGCCTAAGAGCCTGTGAACGCCAGACCTTCGTCATTTTATAAAAGCTGAAAGTTTGTTAGCGCATGCTCCCAACACAGATAAGAACGATGGACCATTATGAAGTTCAGGCTATGGTGGCTTTGGCAGGTACACGGTACTAAAGGTGTGTAAAATACCGATCTAAATTCGTCAAATAATAAAGTGTGATTTTTTGGTATTACCTTCAGAATATTATTAAAAATCACGTCATTCAATGCCAGACACTTAACATCGTGGCAAACCCTTGCCAGACACCCTTTTCATGAAATCATAATTCTACTTACGTTATAGTATAAAAGCTGATTTTTTTATATGATACTTGGGTAATAATTAGATTATTTATAAGACTGCTAGCATAGCATTTATTACACACTATGAAAAATGTTCCAAACAAGTTGGGAGGCATTTTTAAGAATATGTTGCAAATGGTCACCAAATTTGAAGCGCTAAGAATTGACTTTATTTTTGATGTATATATGTCTTTAAAATACAAATAAATCACATATTACTTACACTTTGAAGTCAGATACACAGATATTTAAGAAGTTTTATAATCAAACTAGTGCTCGCTCAGCGGTCGAAATTCGATCAAAACCATTTTTTATTATAAATATTGACGAGTTTTAGTGTTATCCTAAAGCTCGTTAATAGTTACTATTTAAAATAAAAAAAAAAAGAAAATCGGTGGACTAATAGAGGAGATAAAGACATTGAACTGTTTTGTATTCGTCCATTTATATATAGATTAGCGACTCACCCTAGCTTATCCCTAGCTTGCTCCCCAATACCAACTTTCATCCCCATTTTCACTCCCTTAAGGAATGATTTTCGGGATAAAAAATATTCTATGTCCTTCCCAGGATCTCAAACTATCTTCTTACCAAAATTCATCTAAATCGGTTTAGTATATCCAGAGATTACCCCCTACAACGTCACAAACTCACAATTCACAAAGTTTACCTCTTTATTATATTAGAAGGTATAGATTAAAAATTTTACACAAGATTTAATATTCGTTTAATTATACATAGACGTTTGTGCCCAAAGACACTTGTAGAAGGCACGAGACTGAAGAATTGAATAATTGATTTGAACAAAGATATTTTATATTTACATTTTATTGGTCACCTAGTGATCGACTTATTCGAAAAATCATTGCAAATTGCGATCTATGTATTTATTAAAAAAAGGTTTATTTTAAATTTCAAAATATTTTTTAAAATGCGTTGTAAATGAAAAAATACTTTCTCTTCTTTTCTTTTGTAGTGACGTATAAGTAGCATACAAGCATGTGTGTTAGACACTAGACGAGACATCAAACGATATAATTTAAAAAATATTTCAGAAAAATAACAAATAGTTAAAGTTAATATTTCTGCACATATGTACATTGTACGTTATACATATCTTGATTAGTAAAACATAATATGTACTGCATTATAATCCTTATAATATCTATGACATACTCGTTGATCGAACCTGTGACCTCTATCGTCTTTGACTGTCCCAGCCAAAACATAGCCATGACGGTCATTATTCTTGGAGTGAAGTGTAAATATTTTGATTTTACAATTTGGCATAACTAGAAATCGTTGCCGGTGCAATCGTTAAAATTTTAAATGAACGTTTGATCGTGCTTTTAACTGAATGTTTATAAACCGTAGGTAAAATTAACAAGGATTCCACGTAAAATTAACGATGTAAATTTTGGACTAGGAACGTAATCGTTCACGTTTTTTGCAACCACATAGAATATATTTGAGAGTATGTTTATTGTATTGAATGATCTATTGAATTAAGAGAAGGCCAGATACATTGAATTAATTGAAAAAAGTTGATATACTTAAGATGAACTTGCTAATTTGACATACATACTAAATAGGTATGTCCTCAGATTTTTTCACTTATAAAATAAAAGACAACAGGTGATGCAGATCTTCAGTTTTTAGCACAATTGATATTATACATTATTTTAGCATTTTTCTATTCTTACTTCACTTAACACTTTTTGGAGAGTAACTTGAAAGAAGAAGAAAGTAGAAGAAGAAGAAGAACTAGAAGTAAATACTTGAAAAATTTGTATATTTGTAGATTTGTCAACATGTTAATGCAAACTGGCTTTTAATATGATTTTGTCCCTAAAACTCTAATTTTAGAACTGAAAACAAAGGCATTTTTACCTCTTTCTAGTGAAGGATTTCCACTCGATATGTGAGGCTATTGAAATTCAAACTCATCCGAATTTCAATTGATGGTATGAAATTTTCATATAGGATTTTTCTAAAAAGTCCGTTATAAAGATTACGTCAAAAATATTTTTGAAATTTACCTTTTTAAATAAACTGCTACATCGATTTCATTAGTAACAAAAAATCTAGTTTAAGGTGTTTTTTTTCTTGGAATAATAAAATAGGCAGGCAAAGTTATTGCATAAAATATATGCAAAAAATATCACCCGTAAACATTCTCCTTTTTGAAGTTAAATCGATTAAAAATTAATTTACTTTTTATTTTACAAAAAAAAATATATCAGAAATATAAACAACGCTGAGTCTACAGGCAATATGAAGATGAATAAGATTTACCTGCTGCTGTTCACCCAATGGTAAAAATTTGGACCATAATCATTATCGAAAACTGGAAGAAAATGAAAAAACTGTTTTCATTATTTTTTCTTAGTACCTAATACTAAAGCTTGCTACTAAACAAAAAAAAAAAGAAAAAGAAAAACGGTTGACAAACATGCGAGGAAAAGGTATAGAACTTATTAATATATAGATATAGGTAATATATTATAACTAGCGACTCACCCTCGCTCCTCTCGGGTTCATCCCTAAGTGATTCTTTAAATTGACGTAACTTTTTTATTTATGGACCTATTGAAATAAACCTAAACTAAGTGTTAAGTGAAGTTTACCACAATACATTATTGAAAACCGCATCCTAATCAGTTAAGCCGTTTCTGAGATTAGCGCGCACAAACGCACAGACAAACAGACAAAAATTCTAAAAATCATTGTTTTGGGTTCTATTGCGTAATTATAGACCCCCAATGATAGTTTTGTCAAATATCTTCCATGTACATACAGCGATCAGTTACACTTTTATTACATGTATAGTTATTATAATAACCTAGGTATAACTTAATCATCTTGCTAGATAAATAACTTTCATTTTGTCATTAATTAATGACATATTAGTTGTTACTTACGAATTATGAGTATAACATGTTGTATGTAGTGCTATGAAAGAAAAAAACTATAAGCTTATAAACTAAGTAAAACTTTATATGCTTAAGTAAAAGCAGCCCTAATACCCTTCATTGTAGCCATTCGGGGCATTATCGAAGTAAAACCCGCTTACCGGCTTAAATACTTTGCATAAAACCACATGTTTTAATCTATAATCTAAACTAAATAAGGTCATCTTGTTAAACGCTTAAGCAGTGTTAGGTGTTACATACAATATTTATATAGGTGGGTAGGTACTGCATTTGAAGGAATAGGACATAAAATCCTATGTAAAGTAGTGACTCACCTTCGCTTCGCTCGGTTAGTATGGAGTAGATAGACTATACGTATACGAGTATAATATCTATACATATAATAAAATTGTAACTAAGCCGAATCTGTACATTAAATATTTTTTGGAAAATCTTATTGAAATAGGCATTATTATCGATACAGAGGCCGAATCTATAGTTCTTAGAATTTTTATCTGTCTGTCTGTTAACGCATCACAGAAAAACCACTGGAGGGATGGTGATAGCTGGTTATCTGGGTCAACATATAGGATACTTTTTACTGCAGAAAAATATCTCATTTCTGAGAAAAAAATACAAAAACTGCATTGTAAGAGTATACTAATACGTAAAACCTAAGAATTTGGTTTTTGGTCACCAGAACTCAGGCGGAGCCGCGGGCAATGCTAGTTAGTAAATATAATCCACAAATGCATGCAAGAAGTTTATATTAATTTTAAGGTTGCGTTCATAATTATAAAGTAGTAAGGAAAAAGAGAAATGTGTTTTTTACGTTTTCCGTGAATTTTTTCCAATTTTTCTTTTCAAAGAAGCAACTTTCTGCGGACTTCAACGAATATTTGAAAAAAAAAAATAGCCGAAATGTTCCAGCCGTTCTCGAGTTTTGTGCTTAACGATGTACATTGTACACTTAGCCATTCATTTTATTTATAAGACTTGCATTTATAGTATAAATTCGAAGTAATTATAATAAATTTAGCAATCCGTACTTGGTCAGCATGGTGGACTATGATCTGATCCTCCCATAAAGGGAAGATCCGTGTCTAACATTGGGGCTGAAAAAGGGCTGAATACAATACAACACCATACTATTATTAAAAAAAACATCTCAGACCTTAAGGCTTGTTGCGAGTGTTGATGAGTAAGAATTAGAACAACAAATTTATATAAATTATATGTAAATAATAAAAAATATTTATAATTAATCTTGATATTGAAAACAAGTACGATTAAAATAAAAAAATACGTAATTTGATCACTAGTGATAAAAATTTATCAAAGTCGGCGATTTTTAATCCTCAGATAATTATCATCGATTATAACATGACTAAAAGCTTAAAATAATTTTGAACTAATTTGTTCATTCAAATATAATTTTATTTTAATTGTAATTACATAACGTCATAATTAAATATTAATTTATCTATACTATAATATTATAAAGTTTGTGAGTTTGTGACGTTGTAGGGGGAAATCTCTAGATCTACTGAACAGATTTAGATGAAATTTGGTAAGAAGATAGTTTGAGACCCTAGGAACTTTTGAACTTTTTATCCTGGAAATCATCCCTTAAGGGGTTGAAAATGTGGGATGAAAGTTTGTATGGGGAATCAAGCTAGGGATAAACCCGAGCGAAGCGAGGGTGAGTCGCTAGTCTATATTATATACATAAATAGGCAAAGACTAAATAATTCAGAACCTTTTTCTCCTCTATTTGTCAATCGATTTTTTTGGTGTTATCAAAAAAAAAATTTAGAAACAGTTTTTTTATATAGATAGGTAAATTCTATACGTATACTTAATATGTTTTCCTATTTTCAACAATGATTATGATCGATCTTTGACCACTAGACGAACACTAGATACTTTAAAAAATATAATATCAGTTGTATTTTGACGACCACCTATTACGTCATAGTTAAATATAAATTTATTTTGTTTAAATAATTAATTTACTTACATCTGGGCTGATGTCTGTGAAGTTGGCACTCGAAACAAACTCTCTTAAAAAACCATCCAACTCCGTTCCTTCGATGTAGCCGTTACCTACAAAGAGTAAAGAAAACATTAACTTAATCTTCATTTTTTAGGTATAAAGTTCAATAACACTGATTTCAAAACAACTCTCAATGAAGTTACAATACCACCGTTAAGACTGTTTTTTTTTCATTAAATCTATGTATTCACATAATACTTTCTTAGATTTACGCGAATATTTGACATTTTAAATAAAACTATCTTTTCGGATTTAATCCGCGACAAAATCCGAAAAGATAGTTTTATTTAAAATAAATCTATGTATTTATGATTACCCTTGGAATATAATCAATTCATGAAAAAACTATTATTATAACAAGTTCATAATTGGGGAAGATACTGAGTTACATGCAAACAATAAACATACACCCAAATAAAGCACTTTCTTCCTTATTCTTTGAAGAATAACAATAGAATAATATAAGTCAAAAATAGGAAACCGAGTGAAACGGGTTCAAGTCCCGGTTTCGCACCTCCAATGTTCTCATGCGCCAATCTTTTCCAACATGATTACCACTTGTCTTAGGGCGAATAAAACGTTGTGAAGAAACCTGCATGTTGAAAGAACCTAGTAAGTTTTCAAATCAAAAGACATGTGAAGTCTGCCAACCCCCATTTGGCCAGCATGGTTGATTATGACCTGATCCCCCTCGTATTAAAGGTTGGCCCGTGTCCAGTAGCGTGACTTTAAAAAAAACCCTAAATACACTATTATAAATGCGAAAGTGTATATCTGTGTAAAGAATAAGTATTCTAAGTCGTCTACAGACGCACCCAAGGGAAGCAATGGTAAGTTGAATATTGTAAAGTTGAACCTGTGACCTCCGCCAAAGATGGCAAAGCTACCACGACGTAAAATGGTTTTAATCTTACTATATAATATCTGTTAGCACTCTATTGTCTCTTACGTTATTTTAATTATTGTAATTGGTTATAATATTAAAATAATAACTTATTCTTGAAGCTACCGCAACAAATGGTCCAAATAGTCTCGAGTGGTCATCTGTTACGTCTCAGTGGCATAGACTAACCTGTTGAGCCCGTTAGATACATCATTCTCATTGGATAGTAATTCGTTGCAAGCAGTAACAGAGGTTATTAACCCTTTTTTCTTTTTTTTATGTTGGGAAATGCATTTACGCATACTACCTGTTTACATACAGGTGGTTATGTGGGACTCAGCCGGTAGAAAAGCCAGTACTACACAATAAAACCCAACAAAACCTCCCCCTTCATGGGTCGTCGCAGGATCACTTACGCACTCAACCACGACGCTTCGACGTAGGTTATTAATCATAAGTTAAACTATTATGTTTTATTTATTATTTAGGGACCATTATTATAAATGCGAAAATTTGTATGTCTGTTTGTTACTCTATGCTGAAAAAGCGGACTGATTTGTATGAAATTTAGTAAAATGAAAATTAGAAATGGGAGCAAATCATTAGTTTATATAATATTTTTAGTTGAACTTTTTCATCAGTTTATACAATATAAAACATAGATTCTCTTTTAAAAAGTTTGACTAGTTTCATTTGGAACTTTTCTAAAAAGAAAAATACAAGACATTTTAATGGCGGTTTAAGATACTTCCAACGAAGTTTTTCGACGAGTCCTTGATTACGTTGTATCGAAAGTTGTTGAAGAATATCTAATAGTAAAGTACTTAGTGAAAATAAATAATTATTTATTCACTTGTTATTTTTAAGAAAGTTCGGTCATAAATTAATTTTCATATACTCAAAAAGTTATTCTACATAAACTTAGATCTTCTATAAAATCAGATGTTTAAAAGTATAAAATCTACACATGTGTAAATTATATAGACTCAGATAAATCTAAAATATGATTAATTAATCGAAAAAATAGTATTTATTTGAATAATTTGAATGTGAGGTGGAAATAACTAGAACACTTGGGCAAGTTAATTTTTAGAATTATTATCTAAATTAATAGAAAACTTAAAATATGTAAGAATGGTATATCTTGACATTTTTTGACACGTTGATACGTTTTCTATAAGCGATAGAGAACGTAGAGAAACAGTTCACTCCTTCATTTATGTCTATGTCTTAACTATAGGTAGGTACATAGGTTGAGACTTCAGACTTGAGGCAATGACTTTTAGCACTCAATTTAATCACGTATATTATGAGAAATTTAAATACTATCTAATCTGTACTTTTAATATTATCTATAAACGTGGAAGTCTGTCCGTTAACTTTTTACGCCTAAGCCGTTGAAAAGATTTGAATTTGAAAGGAAATAGGCTACCTTTGATCCTCACTTCAGTTACGCGAGTGAAGCCGCGGGCAACTATAAGCTACAAATATTTCATACAAGTTATGAGTAATATCCAGGACTCTTGACTCCCAACACTGCGCTGTCTTGAGACACGAACAAATAAAGTGGTGTCAATACAAACTACAAAGATTACTTTCAGCAACATTTATTTGTTTGTTTGTTTGTTCTTCTTTCACGTCGAAACGGAGTAATGGATTGGCGTGATTTTTTGTGTGGAGATAGTTGGAGGGCTGGAGCATGACATAGGCTTATTTTTTACCGCGGGAGATTATCTAATTCCCACGGGAAAACACGTTATAATACAATCCAAACAATATTTATAATCAGAATTACTTGAAACTTGGTATATATACTTTTCAATAAAATTAAATAAATACGTGTCTTAGCATTTTAAAAATTCATCCTATAAGGGGATAAAATAGGGGATAAAAGGTTCCCCCCCAACGTGCGTTCACCTTGTCGTGGTGGGGGGTTCAGTAGTGCCCGGAAACCCAACCGGGCGCGAAGCCTAGAAACGCACAGGGAGGTGGCCCACTTCGCTGGGCGGTGGCCCTCTTCGGAGGGCGGTGTACCATGCGGGTTGCTCCTGGTACTTCTCTGATAGCAGAGTGGACCTTGGAGCAACCCCGTGGTTGTTGTGGTCTGCTTCGGCAGACCTGCCGTCGGGGCGTCGTAGTTAAATGCGTAAGCGATCCTGCGACGCCCCATTAAGACGGAGGAAGGCTTTGTTGGGTTTTAGTGGGTAGTACTGGCTTTGCCGGTGAGTCCCACACCTCGTGCGTAAATGCATTTCCCAACGTTAAAAATAAAAAAAAAGGATAAAAGGTTGTATGAAACTACCCTTTTAGATATTTTTTTGTAGTTACGCGGTACTAAGCCGCAGGTTCTGCTAGTTTTAAATAAAACTGTCTTTTCGGATTAGTTAGATGGGAGAGAGACGGGATGGAACGGTTTCTACCGCGATCATGATCGCTGTAAAGCATTCGAAACGTCGGCAACTAAAAATCTAAATAAAGCCGCGAAAAAATCCGAAAAGATAAAAAAAACATCGTGTTACAAGGAAAAGTTATATCTTTTACATATTAAAATAATAATATAAAATACTTTCAAACAATATTAAGACAAAAACAACCGTTTATATATAATATTGCTACGCTCTTAAGGGTCATAGCCCAGACTAAAGAATTATATTCTGAGTTCGTAGCCTGTTACGTAGACTATAAGCTTTCTCAATAAATAGGCTGTGAAATGCTTACAGTATTTGGCGAGCTGAAACAAACAAACACTTCAGTTTTGTATATTAGTATAGATAAATAAAGAAACCCTTTTTTATCTAAATGAACTCATGACGAAGTTAGTCGAAGGCGCGTATTTTTTATTACCAGCAAATCTTACAATAACAACAATGTAATTGATACAGCAGTATATAAAACTTCATTTTTAATTATGAAATCATTATTCGCGTAAAGCTTCAACAAGCAAAAGATATTCAATATTCTGTTACAGAATATATATTATATACGAATGGTTCTATTTTTAAGTCATAAAGATTTTTAGGTAGTTTTTTGGTAAAATCGGGTTACCCTGACTTCGAGGTCGATTTACTAATACATTGTAAGGTAAATCCGGAATAAATCATTTTTAATGTGTTAGGTTATTTCATAACGATTCCAACGACATAACTTATATATACAGCTCCAATACATAACTTTAGACATGTCTAATTTTAAATCATAAAATACGATTTTTTGTCGCGCGTGCGAAAAGACATACACACAAATGAAAGAGACATAAATCCAGGTGTTCAAATAGCTCCACACTCTAGCAGTACATACTATGACTTTAAAAGGGCTTACATATAATTCGCCTTCAGCGAACAATCTTATGAATTGACTAGCGACTCACCCTTGCTTCGCTCGGGTTCGTCTCTAGATACGGTTTGACGGTTAGTATGGAATTCTCCCGGATAACCAGCTATCATCATTTCTAAATCTCTCCAGTGGGTTTTCTGTGATGCGGTAAAAGACAGACAAACAAAAATTCTAAAAACAATAAATTCGGCCTCTGTATCGATAATGTTCATTTCAATAAGATTTTCCAAAAAATATTTAATGTACAGATTCAACTCAGAATTTTATTATATGTATAGATGGATGGATGAAGGCTTGTAACAAGCCTCCATCCATCCATCTATACATCATCTTTCACACCAGAACGGCTGAACGTGTCTGGATAAATTTGGCACAGAGATAATATATATATATATATATATATATATATATATATATATATATAATCTATATAGTCTGGAATAGCACATAGGTTACTTTTTATCCCGGAAAAATGTATGATAGATTTGTTTTTATTCGGGGACGAACTGAAATGACGAGAGGGTGAGTCGCTAATTAGTTATAATATATGAGAATCTAATTACTTGAGACATTCCTATTATTATTTTAATATACAAAGACGTAGTTTGCTTGTTTGTATGCTCTAATTTATAGCTCTACTGGTTCGATTCGATTTAAAGGGTTTTTTGTCTATTTATTGAGGCAATAGGCTATATTACATCACACTACGATCAATGAAAGCGGACTAATTCTACAAAAATTAAATGGTGAGAACGGAACCGCGAGAATGCGCTAGTTTCCATTATATAGTAGACATAATACTTTCTTAGATTTACGCGAATATTTGACATTTTA